TTATATTATTTTGACACCGCTAGAACGAGCAAAGCTAGCTGTACCTGTTCGCATAATATTTCAATGAAAAAAGTTAATTTTCACAATATGAACTATTTCAAAAGAAATCAGATTCTTGAACATTCCTAATACGACAGTGCAGGTAAAAGATCACAATCAATTTTTTATTAAGATTAATTTCTAAATATACCGTTAGAAAGCCTGTCAAAAGCTGCACAAAACAAGGACTATCTACTTGTGAAAAAAGAAAAAATGCATCTCTTGTTTCTGCTTCGCAAACCAAGAAATACAAAAAATCATGGGGATGTCCGGATACTTTTTGGACTACCTGTATTTCAACTCATGAACAATGATATTTATTATCTTTCAAAACGAAAAACTGATCGACTTTGCAAATGAACTCTAGAAAACTTGACTTCTGTTATTCTCGATTGCTAAAGTCCGCAAAAGAGGGGGGGCGAAGTAATGCGTACCTTACTTATTAAGGTGAGTAATGGGAGGGGTACTACAGTTGCTAAGGTCTGTAATAAGGCTCGTCTGTGATGCGGGAACTGACCCTCATTGCTAAGTATCTGTAATAGTAGAAAGGAGGAAAAGGAGCTGCAGTACCTCGACTTAAAACTTACATTCACTATATTCTTCGAAAATATATGTGAGTTCCACAAAATATATTATCGTGCAAAAAAGTTCATTTCGAAAAGAGTAGACACAGCGATGTACATTTCCATACTCGAACTTCATTGTAGGAAACTCTTCGTGTTTTATTTCAGACTTGAATAAATAAAACTTACATTAGTATGAATAGGAAAATATTTCTTAAGAGAATATGAAAATTGGTAATTTTTTTATATACAGAATGTCTCAAAAGTTCATTAAAAAAGTAAACGTAGATATATGTTGCACAACGCAATCGATTTTCATATTTTTCTATACCATGATAGCAAGTTCTTCGAAATTTCATTTCTTGGAATATCTCCCAAACTAAATTTTCAAAATTATGACATACACCTGAACCACATAAATATTTCTTGTTCAAAATACTAAAAAAAGAGGGTATATTTTGTGTTTAGGTCAATCACTTTTTGGTATTGAAGCTCATTGTAAATTGAACTGGATATTCAATAACTATGATATAAACATCGGACTTCACTTAATGCTTATTGATAAACTCATTGAAATTAAAGGCAACTCCATTGAAAAATAATTGAAATCCACGTGATTATTACTGTCTTCTACCAATGACACCAAGGTTTTATATGCTTGAACTAGAACTTTTACACTTGAGTGGAAATTCTGTGAAGAAAATATATTCATATAACCTTACCGTCATTGATGGATATGAACTGACGAATGGAAGGAAAGAGATATTTGTAGAAAAAAAAAGAACGCTTATTGAGCCCTATTCTTTGTTATTTTGCCGAGAAAAAGGTCGAACAATTATCAGGGAAAGGATCGAAAATTCGTTCACATTGAATTCTTCAATATTATGTTGTCTATGATCAACACTCTGTCAGACGTATTTTATGCATATAACTAATGACAAATTTCCTTAATCATCGCGTATTTGTCTCTACAATGCATATTTATTAATTCGATATATATCAGGTTTATCATTTCTGTTTTCTCTCATCAATGTTTCTTTCCGACGTATGTTGATCATTTCTTTTAGAATTTTCAATCGATGCGTGCTCATTGAGTTTAAAGGGAGCGAAGAGTTTTGTATTTTATTATTAAATTAATGAAACAAAAGTATGGCATTTTGTTGATGAAAATAATTGAACCGCCGTCATTCCTTCATCTCATCAACTTTTACCCTGCCAAGAGATTGTGAAATATCTTTATTTAATTAATTTTTTGATTTATTTGTTCGTAATCAATTGACAGCTTTTAAAATTTGTATCATTATTAATGTATATAATTGACAGTTGTAAAAACAACTTTGAATATATTTCCATACTAGAAACGAAAACTTGATTTTTTAATTTTTACATAAAGGTTTTAACTGGATAACTGGACTTTTTGTCACACAGACAAATTGTTGCCAGATTTTGTTATACAATATACTTATGTATAACCTATTCATTTTGTAGAAAGTAATGGCGGTGAGTGAAGAAACATAGTGTAGAAGTACAGCAGTTTAGAAAAGAAAACGATTCTAAATTGAAATCAGATTGATACGTTTACGAAACCTAAAAATGTTTTTCAACAGGTATATTCAAAGAACGCTTGCTAAAACGTTTTTTAGATCATGTTAACAAAAGAAAATTTTCTAAGAGAGAGAAACATACGAATCAATTCGCAATGTCGTCCAAAGCTTACATTTCGTTGGCAGAACCAGAAAGATTTTCAGACAAACAACTCGTCTAGTGTACCTGGATGAAAGTGCACAGGCGAGTTCCTGCCAGAAAGTTTATAAAGATGATTGGAACTTGAAACTAGAAATACAAGAATGTGGATGTGAAGTATCAATCTTCTCTTCACTCAACGACATACAAAGCAAAACTAATGCAGATCTTTTGCTTCAACTGCTAATTAGTATTAATTTGTTGATTTCTATCCTTAGTCAAATACTTCTTCAGTTATCATTGAAACAACAGCGCATTGTCATAATTAAAAAGATCATAAAAATATTTCATATTTGAATCGATCATTACCAAGAATTATGAATGAGAGTAGAACATTAAATTTTACTGAAGGAACAAAAATCAAATGAATTTATCTCTGTTAAACATAAATCGAATATATTTTTCAATTTAATATGTAAGTATAAAAATAAGAAGCTCATCAAATAAAATAGAGGCTTTTTTATTTAAAATACTTTATATATGTAGTTTTAGCTAAATACAATACGTCATTCATCTAATAAATTAATTCAAAGACATCTTATTTCCAAACACAGATAATATCGAATAAAAAAGTTTTCAAAAAAAAGTGTAAAAAAATTGGTCTTTTAATATATGGACACAGAAGACGTTATATGAAAATGTGAAAAAAAAAGAATTACATGCAAGCTGGATCATTTATTTTTTCAAACATCCATGTATTACTAATGTTAGGGGCTAACACAAAATTCAAGAAACCATCAGCGATTGGATTAAGCCTTAGGCAATTTTTAAACCTAGTCTCATGTTAGTTTGTCGAATTCGAATATTTATGGTTTACTTTTTTTTTAGCAACTTTGCATTTTCTTTTATACGATAATGGTTTTTTTTTATGGACACAATGGTTTCTAGCTTGATACTATGCTTTTGTCACTATGTGAAAGTTAGTATTTCTTTTACATAGTTGAATAACCATCTTTCATTTGTCATAGTGATGCAATGTTCATCGAAAAAATCAGGCTTGTGTTTTAAAATTTGACATTTCCATTTCTCATCAAAATGGTACTCGAAAAGTTATAAAAATATCCTACTTCGTAGAGAAACCAAATCTCTATCATTTGAGACACTTTAACCTATCAAACGATGGTAAAGAAAATTGCAAAATGCGATTAGAATCCAAAAGGTCAATTTTGAGTATCATTCGAAATTTTCAAGAATTAGCTCGTGCCATTTTTTTAGTAAGTAAACCAGGATGAGCCAATATTTGGATTTTCATGACAAAGTTTTGTAGACTTGCGAATGAAACAGTCAAATCCAAAATTTAAAACTTTTCCATAGCCGAATCATGCTTACATGGTTGAATGTTCTGGAGAGTTCTGTCTTAAATTTCCATAGAATAAATTTACGAACAGAACTATTTTGTTAGCGAGACCATATCAATGTAGTTTAGATAAAAAAATCTATGAAGATTTCTATTTTGCCAATTAACTATTATATAATTTCATTAACTTTGAAATCGACATATGTATTTTTTTTTAAATGTTTTTAATAAGTCTGAATATTTAATGAGATATATTATCAAAATTTGTTTCATTATGCAAATATTAATCAAATCATTATTTAAAGCAAATATATCTGAAGAAAAACTTCTCAAATTTTGGTAAACTTGCAATAGTCTTCTTAATTTTTCATTACGAAAATTAGTTCTCATTTTGATATTGAAATAGTTAAAAACATATTTCAAACTCGTGTATATATTTTTCAGAATTCGCTACTCACTCTCTCAATGACTCAGAGTAGTATTGATTGAATATTCAAACGAGATTTATTCGAAATTTGAATAAAATCAAAATACAATCATGTTTAATAACAATATAAGATTAATTATTTTCATCTACTATGTGAATCAAATTGATATTTTCTAAAAATCTAGTTAATAATTGTATCACCATTACATTTCTAATTGTTACAGTTAGTTATTCAAAATAAATGAAACTCAAAATAATGGTAATTAGATTATTTAGAAGTTTGAAACTTTATCAATCAATACAAAAATGATAATTTTCGTTGAAATTTCGAAAAATTATTACTCGTAATGCAATTATTATGGATTTGAATAATGAAAAGTTTGTTTAAAATTGAAATCTTTTTTTATAATTTAGAATAATTTCAATATTTACACTAGTGTTTGTATGATAAATCTATAAAGACTTGCTTATCGTTTCATATACCAGTAGTTTTCATAAAACTCTATTAAATTGTTTCTTTTTTAATTCAACATCGTATATGAATAAAGTGTCTTTCATATTGAATAAAAAACCAAGTTTCAAACATGACCAAACCAAATTCTTGCTCATTTTTATTCTTAATCAAAATAAACAAAATAATAACATCATTATCCATTAATGATATAGAAATATGCAATCATTCTCTTATTTTAATATAACATCTATCAAGCTTATATATATGGTACACATAATCAATTCTTCACATATGGTTCTATAAGAGAGTGAGAAATAATACGATGAAAATAGAACTACTATTTTTTTTTTGTATCAATGAAATGCTCTTCTCTCATCTCTGGATTTACAGATCATATAAATACTTACGACATAAATAATACGCATTGTTCATAAGTCATATTATCAGATTAGAAGAAAATCTTATTGTCTTGAAATCATGACTAGCGAAGGGTATGTATAAATTCCTATGAAAATATTTATTAATTATTTTAAACAGGACAATTCATGATCCAAACGATCCCGAATTTCAAGAAGCAATGAAATATTTAGCATTACCAGCTGAAGAAAAAATTAAACTTCGATCTCAACCATTTGATGCTAAAAAAGCATGTTGGATACCAGATCCAAAAGAATCATTCATTGCTGCTGAAATTGAAGATACCAAAGATGATCAAGTAACAGTAAAAACTTGTAAAGGAGAAGTACGTATATATTTCGTTCAAGATTCATTATTAATAATTTATATTTATTATATAGATTAGAACAGTTAAAAAGGATGATGTTCAACAAATGAATCCACCGAAATATTGTTGTTCTGATGATATGGCTGATTTAACCCATCTGAATGATGCTTCAGTATTAGCTAATTTACGTGATCGTTATTCGCGATGGCTTATCTACGTGCATATGTCCTCCTTATGTTTTTATAAAATCTATAGATTGTTTTATTTTTTTTTAGACATATTCAGGTTTATTTTGTGTTGTCATAAATCCATATAAACGTTTACCAATTTATACTATGAAAGTTGTTCTTGCTTATCGTGGTAAAAAACGTACTGAAGTTGCTCCACATCTGTATGCTATATCTGATAATGCTTATTCAAATATGCTTCGAGGTAAATATCTTAATCTAAACAAAATTCTCTTATCATACGAATATGAAAACAAAAATAATATACTCATCACTTGGAAATCATTTAGTAAAGATATATAACATATGCTAGGAAAAGCGATATTACTTTCATAATAAAATTAATTGCATGTCTAAAAATAATATTATTTTAAATGTATTGAAGGAAAGTGATTGATAAAGCATATGGAATATGAAAAAAGAATTGATAAGATATTTTTAAGAGATTATTGAGTATACTACTGTATTTTACATTGATATGAAACGTAGAGAACAGAAATATAGCAAAATCTAATGACAAAAAAAGAGCTTCTCATTACAAGAATACATATAGATTAAGTTAATTAAAATTGAAAAAACAAAGAAAGCTTTATGAAACATTAACTATGCACAAACATAATGTGTTATTCAGTTAAATATGCAATAGTTTTATCTAAAAAAATAGAATTCAGAAAAAGTCTTATTTGAAATCTCAACGGTTGTGGAAGTTAATTTTTGCGAATTAATTCAATACCAAAAGACACTATTTGATTATAAAAAGTAATTTGAATCGTTCCCCGCCTTCAGAAATGTCGAATTTCGTCAAAAAAATCATGAAATTTGAGATAAATGTCCACTGGAAGAGTCTGAAGAAAGTACTGCAACAATTAGTATGACTTTGAAGTGTCTTTCTTCCAAGAAATGAATTTTTCGTAAAAAAATAATTTTACTTTAGAAAGAGTTATTTTTCGTACGATAATCAATTTTTAAGGGTAATACATGGTCAGATAATCTAAAATTTATGCAAGACAGGCGAAACAATGAATGATAAAAGGATCAATTTAGACAAATATTTTTCTATTTCACAATTCTGTTATCGGAGTTAGTATAACAATGATGGCCTGTCGATGTTTGTTTTTTTGGTGGGTTCTTCTTTTAACTAAGAGCCACGCATCAACACATCCACTAAGTAAAAAATAATTCTCAAACATAAAATAAAATACATAGTTACATATTGGTACATACTTAGATCCTTTAACCCTTTCAGAACGGGATTATTTTTTTGACAAAAAAAAAACACAAAAACAAAATATCAAGAATCAAATGATTCTATTTTTCATTCAAGTTTATTAATATGATTTCAGAGTATGATAGTCTCGAAAACAATTAGGAATGCATAAGCCTATAAACATCTTCTAACGCATACGCAACTATTTCGGATCATCAATACATAATATACTTCGTTCTTGAAAAAAGGCGATTAAACACGATTTGATTCAGTTTCATGAATGCTATTAAGTAACACATCATAGGTCTATGCTTATATCAATTTAAATGTTTGCTGGTCAAAAGAAAATATTTTAAAACTTTATTTGACGTTTATCTCAGAATATCGATCTGATAACGCGTGTCGAGCGGTTTTCCAATACATTAAGAGATAAAGTCTAACATTTTTTTTGTCTAAAAGCTGGTATTTAGCACAAGCCACTCTCGTGGATTTTTCTTAAAGAAAAAGTATTAGCCAACAAAAAATATGTTTCCTTCTATCAAAATTTGGCTATTTTCATAATGTATGTCAATTTTATTTAGAATTTATTGACTTCATATCTATGTCAAGATGTAAAAAAAGAAGAAAATCAAAACCAAGTTTACTAGAATTACTAGACCAAAATGTCTTCAAAAAATTTTAAAAAATTGACTTTTTCAGTCGAGATAGTCAGATATTGTTGAAGATGCCAGAGGTCTAAGAATAGTTATTATACATATACTAATATTGCCCTACCACTCACTAAGAAAGAGCTATAAAACAAAAATTTATTTTTCTTGTATGGTTATGCATCACTAATATTTGTACAAAGTTTTAGCTGAATATCATATCCAAACATAGAGATCTTGACTTGAAAGGATGGAGAGCTTCAATCAAAAATGTTCCGTTAATGTCTCACATGGCTGTATTTTTAAATTTGTAATATCCTTTATCATAGGAACATCGATGTCTAATCCTTTGGACAAATGTTTCTTATTCGATGTTAATGATAATAATATTTCTATGTTTATCAGTATTTCCGACAGTATAATACTGAATAAATAGATAAAAAAAAATGAATTAATAATCATATTTAGATCGTGAAAATCAATCAATGTTGATTACAGGCGAATCAGGTGCTGGTAAAACAGAAAATACAAAAAAAGTTATTCAATATTTTGCCTTGGTCGCTGCAGCTGGTGCGAAAAAAGAAGAAGGAAAGGTAATAAAGATCAAAAGAAAATAGCATTATTTTGTATATTTTTCATAATAAATAAATAGAAAACTATGACACTTGAAGATCAAATTGTATCAGCTAGTAAGTAAAAGTCTTGCCATTGTCTTGATCATCATCTAAATCTACTGATTTTTCTTAGATCCCGTATTAGAAGCTTATGGTAATGCAAAAACTACTCGAAATAATAATTCATCTCGATTTGTATGTGAAAAATGTTTCTTTAATTTAATGTTCATTTATTGATCTTTCACTAGGGTAAATTTATTCGTATTCATTTTGGTAACACTGGAAAGATTGCTGGAGCTGATATCGAAGTTTATCTATTAGAAAAATCTCGGGTTATCTTTCAGGTAGGTTAATTTATATAAGATTAAATTAACTTATAATTTTGGTGAAACATGTTGCAACACATGGTTCAGTAACAGAGATACAAACTGTATTTCATCTAAGTGACATTCAAAAACTCGTACTTTCTTATATTCAACTTCCAGATAAAGGATCTTATGAAACATGATGAGCTTACTCTAGAATCAAAATGTACTTCCGCTTATGAGGATTATATAGAAGAATAGTGAAGAAATATGTGCCAATATAGATAGAAAAAACAATCTTTCAGTGATTTACAATAGTAACTACATCGTGTTTCACATTTTTATCCTACAGGAATTGTGCTAAGACTTCTTTTTTTTAATTTTATTTTAGCAACCAGGTAAAATTTTAATTATTTCATAAAATTCGTCATTGATGAATCATTTAGCTGAACGTAATTATCACATATTCTATCAACTTTGTTCGAATGCTTTTCCTGATTATCACAGTATATATTGATTTTTTTTTAAGAAGTTTTGAATTCAATCTATATTTGTTTAGAGGAATGTCTTATTGAAAATGATCCATCAAAATACTTTTATGTTGCTCAGGGTATGCTTACAATAGATAATGTTGATGATGTTGAAGAAATGCGACTTACGAATGAAGCATTTGATATTTTGGGTTTTACTCAGGTATATATCAATAAGAAAATTATTTAGTAGAAATATTTCTTTTCTTTTTTTTTTTGTTTTATTTTTTAGGAAGAAAAAATTAATTTATTTAAATGTACTTCAGCTATTATGCATTTTGGTAATTCTCAATGGAAACAACGACCTCGAGAAGAACAAGCTGAAGCTGAAGGTACACAAGAATGTGAAAAAGTTGCACATTTACTTGGCATTGAAGCAGCTGATCTTATAAAAGGATTACTTAAACCTCGCATAAAGGTTTGAATGTATTTATTTTTTGTTTGATTTTTCATAAAAATTCAACATAGGTTGGAAATGAGTATGTTAATAAAGGTCAGAATAAAGATCAAGTAATTAATTCAATAGGTGCTTTATCAAAAGCAGTATGTTGAAAAGAAACCACCATAGATAGAATATAAATATTCTTTTATATCTTAGATTTATTATCGTATGTTTTGTTGGTTAGTCGAACGTGTTAATACCACGCTTGATATAAAAGCTAAACGACAATATTTTATTGGTGTACTTGATATTGCTGGTTTTGAAATATTTGAAGTAAAATATTTCTAAAAATTCATATGAAAATTAAACTTTTCTTTCTTTTTTCTTCTAAGTATAATGGTTTTGAACAATTATGTATTAATTATACAAATGAACGTCTTCAACAATTTTTTAACCATCATATGTTTGTATTAGAACAAGAAGAATATAAAAAAGAAGGTATACAATGGGAGTTTATTGATTTTGGAATGGATTTACAAGCTTGTATTGATCTTATTGAAAAGGTTGGAAATGTGTTTTTTTTTTGTGTCATTTTATTTTTTATTCTAGCCGATGGGAATTCTTTCTATTCTTGAAGAAGAATGTATTGTACCTAAAGCTACAGATAAGACATTCGTTGAAAAACTTTATAATAATCATTTGGGAAAACATCCACAATTTGGAAAACCAAAACCTGGTAAAGGTAAAGTTGAAGCACATTTTGAAATTCATCATTATGCTGGTACGGTTGCTTATTCGGCTACATCATGGTTAGAAAAAAATAAAGATCCTATCAATACAACTGTGTATGAAATATATAGAATTTTTGAATTTTCTATATCATAAAAATTCTTTTGATTTTAGTGCTGGTCTTTTTGCAAAATCAAAAAATTTGATGTTAAGCCATCTTTTTGCCGATTTAATTGAAGATGAAGGTGCTAGTAGTAAAGCAGCTGGTGGAAAAAAGAAAGGTGGTGGTAGTATGCAAACTATATCTGCTACACATCGTGTAAGTTTTTGTTTTTATTTTTATTTTCATTAATTAAATTTTTCTTTAGGAACAATTAAATAAATTGATGAATAATTTAAAACAAACTCATCCACATTTTGTTCGTTGTATTATTCCAAATGAAATAAAAACTGGTGGTGTACTTGATTCACATTTAGTTATGCATCAATTAACATGTAATGGTGTACTTGAAGGTATACGTATATGTCGTAAAGGTTTTCCAAATCGTATGATTTATTCCGAATTTAAACAACGTTATTCTATTTTGGCACCAAATGCTATACCAAAAGGTTTTGTTGATGCAAAAAATGCAACAGAAAATATTCTTAAAGATGTTGCCTTAAGTGAAGAATTATATCGTTGTGGTACAACAAAAGTATTTTTTAAAGCCGGAACATTAGGTCAATTAGAAGATATGCGTGATGCTGCTCTTTCAAAAATTGTAGCTTGTTTACAAGGACAAATACGTGGTTATCTTATGAGAAAAGAATATAAGAAAATGTTAGATCAACGTTTAGCTTTATCTGTTTTACAACGTAATTGTCGTAAATATTTATTATTACGTAATTGGCCATGGTGGAAATTATATACTAAAGTAAAACCACTTTTATCAGTTGCAAGACAAGAAGAAGAAATGAAAAAACTTGAAGAAGAATTTAAAGCATTAAAAGAAGCTTTAGAAAAAGAAGAAAAATTACGTAAAGAAATAGAAGATAATAATGCAAAATTAGTCCGAGGTGAAATAGAAAAATAAATAAATAAATAAATAATTTACTGTATTCTATATATATTTTAGAAAAAAATGATTTATTTCAACAATTAGAATTTGAACGAGCTGGTGCATTAGAAGCCGAAGAACGTTTTACTCGATTAGGTAAAATATTATCTTCATTGTGAATATAGATCGAAGTTTGTCCGTCTCGTTTTATATCCTACCATAGACAAGCTTTTCAATTGATTATTGATAAAGAAAGACAGGTATAGAATTTGATGATATTGAATCTAAAGTTAGTATACCGCGAAGTTCTATTATAGAGATGGGAATCAAATGAAGATGTCTTTATTCATTTGGTTCTCCGGATTACAAATCCATTAGACAAAAAAAAGAAGTTGACGTATATTCCATCACAGTTTGATAAATAAGAACAAAACACAGATCATGTGTTATCTTATGAAAAAAAAGAGAAATAAAATACCAATTATCATCTTCTAGACTTTAATTGGATGACATCTCTTACTATCCTATTTGGACAGCCGTTATGTAATAGTTGAGCACGATAAACCCAAGGCAAGACCAAATAAAAAGTCTTATGAAAAATAGCAATTCATATGGTATGAAACTGCTACTTATTGGTTCAAATAAACCACATAGATACAAAAAATAAGAATAGCAGTTTACAAGTTAAAAACAAGGGTATCTAGTTTTTGTAAACATAAATCGTGGTTGCAGATGAGTAATCACATGATCTAAGCGTCTGCTATAATTTAAATATTCTTTGATAGTTGTTCATTTATAATTTCATAATAATCTTTTGCTTGAATAAGTTTAAAAATAAAAAGACATTTTAATTTTTAACAATATGCATATATCAGAAGAGCAATACATATGTCTAAGCACTTCGAGATTGCTAAGTGATGTCTGCCTATTATTTTTTATATATCTGTTTAAGTTATTGTTTTCAAATAAAGTATTTTTAGTGAAACAATCTATTATGCTATTATTGTGAGAGTTTTCAGCTAATTGTCATAGCTATCAGTTTTCGCTGTTTTAATGTTGATAGATGAACTCAATGCATGAAATTCCGATCTTTTCGGTGTCAGTTATCTTATTGTTCTCACGTTTATTAATATCGAGCTTTTATGATTAAATTTATTATATAGAATTTACTTTCTATTGTATGTTTCCTATTAAACGAATAAATGATCTTTGACTATACATCAAACGTTTGTTGAAGGAAAAAATAGAAAAATACGTAGTTGGCTCGAAAAAAACAAGAAATTTAAGTAAACTATTAGTAATATGTATGAAAATAAGAATATTTTTTTGTTCGTGACAATGTGAATCGAATTCGAATGAAGTTTTTTTGTAACTCGTTGCGGTCTTTGTTCTATTATCTTGAATTTATAATACTTCTAATCGTTTTAATGCACTTATTTTTAGTTACACAAAAAGCTGATTTTGAACAACAAGTCAAAGACTTAGAAGAACGTTGTAATCAGGAAGAAGAAATCAATCAAGAAGTAAATAATAAACGAAAAAAATTAGAACATGAAATTGATGGTTTAAAAAAAGATATTGATGATATGCGTTTAAATTTACAAAAATCTGAAAATGAATGTAAAATACGTGATAATCAAATTCATAGATTACAAGATGAAATTGCACATCAAGATGAAACTATTGCAAAATTAACCCGTGAACGTAAACGTCTTGAAGAACAAAATTCTAAAGTAACTGAACAATTACAAAGTGAAGAAGATAAAGTTAATCATTTAAATAAATTAAAAACTAAACTTGAACAAACACTTGATGAATTAGAAGATACTTTAGAACGCGAAAAAAAAGCTCGTAGTGATTTAGATAAAAATAAACGAAAATTAGAAAATGATTTTAAAGCATTACAAAGTAGTTTTGAAGATTTACAAAAATCCAAACATGATTTAGACGAACAACTTAAACGTAAAGATCAAGAAATGCAACAAATGAATGGACGTATTGAAGTTGAACAAGGGCAAACAACTAATCTTAATAAAAAAATTAAAGAATTACAAAGTCGTATTGAAGAATACGAAGAAGAAATTGAAAATGAAAGACAATTACGAAATAAAAGTGAAAAACAACGAGCTGATTTAGCAAGAACAGTCGATGAAATGAATGAACGATTAGAAGAAGCTGGTGGTGCAACATCAACACAAGTTGAAATGAATAAAAAACGTGAAACAGAATTAGCTAAACTTCGTCGAGATTTAGAAGAAGCTAATCTTCAACATGAAGCAACAACTGCACAATTAAGAAAAAAACATCAAGACGCTGTTAATGGTAATTTTTATTTATTTATTTTCTATGATTTAAATATTTTGTGAAACACCATAGAAAAGGACTGTTGAAGTATATAGAATAGAAATTTACAACTCTACCATTTCGCTATAAACTATGACAGATACGTTAGAAACGACTTATCACACACATGATGGCATGCTCAAGAGTTATGCAATTTCATTTTTTTTTTTGATAAAATGTAACATCTATTTCTTGTCAATGATAAAATTGAATTTTTTCAAACTTTTATTATAGATAGAGACCATTTAAATCTTCTATCAGTTAAAATTTCATTGGTTAACCTTTTAATCGAGTTAAGCTATTTAGAAAATATCAGCCGTCGCGAAATGTCAAAAAATAAAATTTTCTTTAACAGAGCTGAGACTTTAGCATTTTACTAAGAAATGAAGTACTATACAAATAAACTTTCTATATAAAAGTTGTGTCAGGACGAAAGTAAAAGAAGTTCCAAGCGACCAGATATTCGTCACCATCATTGGATGCGCCACCAAATGATGTTTTTTTTCACTACAAGCCAACGTAAAAAGGTTTTCATTAACTAAGTACTCTATTCTTTTCAGAACTCGATGCTAATTCTCAACACGTGTAAATTTATGAATAAAAACAAGGATAAACACTGAGTTGTAGAAAACATATGCGAATATTAAATCAAACTGAATGTCTTTGGTGAAGTTTGTTGAGCTCTATCTGGAGATGCCTTATTCAGTTACCAAAATTAGTAACATGAGCGTACGAAATACACTACAAGAAAGTTTCTTTATAGAATTTCATCAAACGTAGAGATGGTTTTGAACGCATTATCTTGGTTCATACACATTTAATAGCCGCACTATGATCATATGTTGAATGAGCAGTTTATATTTGACAGAGAACTTGTTTGTTTTTTTCTGTTGATCGATTCTTTTTTAATAATTTATTCCATTATCATCTTTTACACAAGCTTTTGAGTTGTTCACTCTAAGTAAGATTTTGCGTGTGTAGAACACTGAAATCCATTTAAAACTAGAAACGTTTTTATTTCAAGTGGTATTGTTCGTTCTCTTCTCAATGGAAGATGTAGCTTTCTTCTCTTTTAAGTTTGAACTTTTCTGAAGTATGGGTAACTGATGACTGGTCATGCAAATGACAAACTGTTTTATCAATGGCACATGACTAAGTGAAATATGTCTTTACAATTCCCTTCCGCAAAGTGTACATCTAGGCGAACATTTGGTTAAACATGAAAACGGTGTTTTTTCAAGTTTTAATATAGCAAGATATACTTAAAAATATAATTCATCTAATGGTATAAATAGCTCTGTACAACTATCCAAGATACTAAAAACCAATTGTCCAAATATTAGTTTGTAAATCATGATGTTACCGAAAAAAATTGATATCTGAAAAAATAAAACTGTTCGACAGAGAAATTAAGTATAATTTCTGAATCTTCAAACTAAGCTCTATATAAGAGTAAAAAAAAATATTTTATTATTTACATGTTTAACTTTTGAAAAAAAAAATTTTTCTCGAGTATTGTCCGAAGTGAAAGCCTCACAAAATGAACAATTCATCAGCACCCAACCTCCAAACTTTCCCAAATTTTACCAGACTGTTTTTCTGTCTCCTATCTCTTATCTCTGTTAGCGCAAACATTCTTATATTATATACTAGGTTTTTACAAAGCCTAGGATTTTTTAGGCTTTGAAAAAATATTTAATCGACAAAAGTAGTTTCTTCTGCATGAGAGTAGTAAACTACATTCAATGATATATAAGACAAAACAACTTTGAAGAAAAATTGAGAGCAAGAATAACCTCAAGTATCTTTAGTTGAGAAACTTTTTTTCCCAAAAATATGTTTTTTTCTTAAAAATGCTTTTCTGTCATATTTTCTCGCGAAGAAATCTGTTTCGTAACAAGAAAGTTACCTGTCCATCTGCCATGTGAAAAACGCATACTGTATCTCTCCTCCGTGACTGTCTGTGACAGACGTTGTTGATATACAATGAAAGACTATATATCAACAGCATCTAGTGATAATATATGAATTATTTCCTTACTGTATCTCTAGAGGATGAAGTAAGGGAATGGTGAAAAAGCGTGTCTTCAAATAATTAGATAGAATAAAACAAAATCTCTGTGATTAATAACATCGTATTTCACATTTTAATCTTGTTAGGATTGTACTAACAGCTTATTTTGTTTTGTAAGAAATGGGAGAACAAATTGATCAATTACAAAAATTAAAAAATAAACTAGAAAAAGATAAGCAAACAATGAAATCAGAATTAGACGATCTTCGTGTACAAATTGATTATATACAAAAAGGTAAAGTCACTGCTGAAAAACTCTCCAAACAACTTGAACAACAATTAAATGACATTCATATTAAACTTGATGAACATGTTAAACAAATTACGGATTTAAATCATCAAAAATCAAAATTATCTAGTGAAAATTCTGATTTAGTTCGACAACTTGAAGAAGTTGAACAGCAAATAAGTATTTTAACAAAAGCTAAAGCAACAGTACAACAACAACTTGATGAAGCTAAAAGAACAATTGATGAAGAACTACGTGGTAAAGGTTCAGTTAGTAAGTTGCAGTTTTCTTTTGAAGATTAAAGATTTTATTGAATATTTATTGAGGTTCACAAATACGTCATTTAACTGCCGATCTTGAACAAGCTCGAGAACAACTTGAAGAAGAACAAGAAATGAAAAGTGAACTTCAACGACAAATAACAAAACTTAATATTGAAATACAACAATGGAAAGCTCGTTATGAATCTGAAGGTTTTATTAAATAAATTATAAATTTAATTTCTAAGAAAAAAAATGTTCCTTTTGTTTTTAGGTACTACTCGTAGTGAAGAATTGGAAGAAGCAAAACGAAAATTAGCTATAAAACTATCTGAAGCTGAAGAACAAGTAGAAGCAGCATTAAATAAATGTAATGCTTTAGAAAAAGTTAAAGTTCGTCTTCAAGGTGAAGTTGAAGATCTTATGATTGATGTCGAACGTGCTAATACAAGTAAGTCTATTTTAACTTATTATTATATCGAACTAATTTTTAAGATATTTTAATAGGAATTTTTTGAGAATAAAAAATCATTGTTTTAATTTTAACAATGTCTTGTATAAATAAAATAAATCTATTACAACCATAATGCAATAGGTTTTATCAAATAAATTAAAGAACTGTTACCGAACTATAATATCTATAAAAATAGTATCTGTGATTTCTAACAATGCACAAGATGAGATCTTCAATCAAAATAATAAAAAATTTTCTAAAGTCTGGAGTTTTATTGTTTCTTTTCCCTTACGAATGGTATTTAAATAATTTGAAACTAATGAATAATATGGTAAGAGATGCATACTGACTGTGAAATGTCAAAAAATTCGAGCTTTGTGAAGAATAACAACATTAATATCATTTTACAGTAATTTAATCATGAGTAAATCGATAAGAATTACTCATAGAAAAGAATTTTTTCTAAAATTAAGAACTTTTTTAACAGAAAATCTAGTATACTAATGAAAAATCATAGATTTCATAATAATACCGATGTTTTACATGATATTATAAAATTCAAATGTTCTAAAATTAACTGCTTGTTTCTTCGGTGAATCGAAGATATATCAAACTTTGATAAACATATCTGTTCGTCACGTTATTAAATATCTAACTTTCGTTCTTCAATCAAAAACTAGTCTTCTATCTTTTCTTTTACGACTCAAAGGATTCCTTCTATCCTTTGTTCTTGTTAAATGACAACAGTTTTCCTAGTTTTCTTAGCTACAACAAGAGATTAATAGCAAAATCAAATTACGGAATCCCAAATGATCAGACATTTCGTTTACAGACAAGTCTACCGGTCATTAAAAAGTCTTACAACTTTGAACTCAAAAGAATTTATTCGTGAAATTTTGAATTCTAGTAATTCTTGATTTGTTTTGGTTTTACCTTGCGATATATGATGGCTTTCTTGATATACAATATTTGAAGAATCTTGTCTTTCGATTTAAAACTTTTAAAACATTCTAATGACTATGAGACTTTTTGATAAACAAAATTTCAAAGCAAAAATTTCATGATCTGATTTTTCTATAAATACTGTATTCTAGTTAGAATGCTATCAAAACGATCCGAGTTTAATAAAAGAAAAGTAGAAAAAAAACTCATTGGTCAGACTTGTCCTAGTTTCATAAGAACCCTATTGATTCGGAAAAATATTTGTTTGATCAAAGATTTACACTTGAGTATCTTTCCTAACTAGTTGACTTCCTTCTTTGATGGTATGAACAAAAAGTATTGTTTTATATTTTTTATGGTTATTTCAAAGCGGTAGTATTCATAGAAATTGATCTGAGAAAGTTTTTAAGATCTTTCATATGGGAAATTTTTCTATTCAAGTACTTAATACAAATTTAAACATATACCATAGATTTCCATAATTAGTTAATGAAAAATAATATATTTATATATGTTAAGATGCTTCGACAATGGATAAAAAACAAAAACAATTTGATAAATTAATAAATGAATGGAAACAAAAATGTGAAGACATGACTATTGAACTTGAAGCATCACAAAAAGAAGTACGTCAATATTCAACTGAATTCTTTAAACTTAAAAGTCAATATGAAGAATCACATGAACAAATTGAAGCACTTAGAAAAGAAAATAAGAATTTAGCTGATGAAATTAAAGTAAAAAAAAAGATGTTTAGAAAAAAAATAGTTTTTAATTAAACAGTTCTTTAATACATAGGATCTTATGAATCAATCAGGTGAAGGTGGAAAGAATATTCATGAAATTGATAAAGCTCGTAAACGTGCTGAATTAGAAAAAGAAGAATTACAAGTTGCTTTAGAAGAAGCTGAATCTGCATTAGAACAAGAAGAAGCTAAAGTTCTTCGTGCACAAATGGAACTAAGTACAGTACGTCAAGAAATTGATCGACGAATTCATGAAAAAGAAGATGAATTTGAAAATACAAGACGTAATCATGCACGTACCATTGAATCAATGCAAGC